TTCACTGTCCCCACAATTCCAGAAACCAAACAAGCCTCTTACTGCCAGTGGTGCAGTCATATACACTCTGAAAAGGTTGAGTGACTTCAGCCTTTCAGGGAATGCTGCCTTCCACACGGGATGCTTCTGGAAGGCATTGTCAGGAAACAAAGGTCAAAGGTGGGACTTGGTTTCCTATCAGTTCAGATGAACACACAGTGATTACATGGTTGTGTGTGGAAAAAAACCAAGCAGTGTTATTCTACAATGAGAAAGGATGGATTTCCCTGGTAACTTGGTGAAAGTGTTGGAGGAGAAACTTACTCCACGTGGGGGAAGGTGGAGTAGAGGAAGGGTCAGGTGCCAGCTGCCCCTAAGCTGAGATCCCAGCAGCAGGAGTATTGCTTCCTAACAGGGTGATGGAGGAAATTCACTGGAATTCAGCATTGGACAGTAAAATAACCATAGGGAGACATTTACAGGTTTTGAACATGGAACAAAAAGTACTGCATTAGAGATGAGCCAGTTTTTCTGGAGGCGGAGTCTGCGCCATCCCTCCCCTTCCCTCCTTCCCTTCAGGCAGCCAGGGAGGGAAGCCCTGGCAATGAACTTGGCACCTGGGACACTGTGGAAGAGAGGGAAGTGGATCTCAACAGACCCAGAAAGGCAGCAAGTTGGTGATGGAAAGATGCTGAGTGTCTCTGCGCGGGCTGGGGATACCCAGGCCTGAGGGCTCCCTTGGCTGCTGGCAGCTGGTGTAGGCATCTGGGAGGAGAACAGACAGTGTCCAGACCCCGCATCTGCACTCCAGGCCTGACCTGGGGAATGTGCATGTGGTGGAGTATGTGCAGCCTGTGCAGGGACTGGTGAGTTTTCTGAGCCTGGGCTCCAGGGGAGTGTGCCATGTGTGTGTGTGTGTGTGTGTGTGTGTGTGTGTGTGTGTGTGTAAGATGTTTCATTTTTTATCATTTTTTTCCACTCATCTGATATTTTGCCCTGCTCTGGATTCAGAGTGGAGGTTTTTATGGGTTGGTTTTATATTGAATTTTTACTTTTTCGTACCTTAGTGTTTGTTCCTCTTATTCCTCCTTCCCTTTATTCCCTTCCTAAGAGTCACATGCTCTCATTCCCTCATTCTTTATTTATTCTATTATTTTAGTCACTTTTTAATCCTCCTTCCTTAGCCATCATTTACCACCATTCTCCTGCTTCTCCCTGTTTTTTAAATGTTTTAAAGAACTTAACCCTGCTCTGTGTGAACTGTTTAGTGAGTGTCACTCCTGCCCCCAACATTCATGATGTTCTGTTATTAACATGATGGGTGACCCAGGCGACAGCTGGTATTCAGTGCCAGATCTAGTTTGTGGCTGTGTTTTGCTGTTGCTTGGGTTAAATGTTGACAAACTATTCTGCTTTGTGTGGCCATTAGTAATATAGAGGTCATTTCAGGTGCCAGACATTTATTTTAAGGCTGCAAATTGGTCACCACCATAATTATTTCTTGCCCCCCCCTTTTCCTAAGAGCAGCTGGGAAGTGATTGGGATGCTACAGATTCACAGCATAGAGAATCTATGGCTTTGCTCCCCTCACATCTCTGTCAAATAATTGCCAATCTCATTGCCTGCACAAACCAGTCTCTCTCAGACTCCAGCAATTCTTTAATACATAGGATAGTGGAGACAAAGCCTCAAACCAACAACCAGGCCCCAAGTAGGAACATCTAGAGGGGGTTCTCAGTTCAAACTCACACACACAAAACAGAAAAGTTCTAGATGTAAGCTCTAAGAAGTTGGTAGTATTGCAGTGGCACTCCAAGAGTAAATTAAAATAACTGTCTGATATCAGCAACTTGAGTGGAACTAGAGGTTGAAATTAACACCAAGATTATTTTGAATTCAACTGAAAGTATCAACAATACATTAGATTGTGTAAAAATTAAGCTTTGAGCACAGAACTGAAAATAAAATACCAACAACATAGAAAGAATACATGGAAGATTACTATACATCAAAGGCCTCTCTCACAGAAGAACAGGAATCCATTTCAATAGATGCCCAAGTCCAAGACCCCTGAAAGCATGAGGAAATAGGCAAGCAAGTTCCCACCCAAAATTTATAATACCACAAGAAAGGAGCTCACATAAATGGAAGTTGATGAAATTCCAGACAAAGTTTACAAAAATTAATTATTTAATTGTTTAGTGAGCTATAGTAAGATTAAAGGAAGATTAAATGAAGAGACTAAATGCAGAAACACCATTTAAATAAAGAAAGAAATTAAACACGGAAAAGCCCATCAGAATTCCTGGAAATGAAAGACACAATGGAACCAATAAAAATTCAACTGAAAGGATTACCATTACATTAGATTTTGTAAAAAAAAAAAAAAAAAAAAAATTAAGCTTTGATCACAGAACTGAAGGCTGGTATATTACCTTGAAAACTTAGAATACAATAAAGAAAAAAAATAATTAACACTGACCAAAATATTTAATAACTTTGGTATAAACACAAGAGGCCCAACTTAAGAATCACTGAGATAAAAAATAAGGGAGATATGGGCTAATGGCATTAAAATCCTTTTCAGGAAACAAGACCAGAAAATTTTCCTTGTCTTAGATATCATATGGAAAACCATACTCCAGATTCATTAAGAACACCAAAGATACAAGGTCAAAAAAAGAACCTCTTCAAAGCATATCATAATCAAAATGTCTAACAGAATTTAAGGAAAGAAAATTAAAAGCTGCAAGAGAAAAATACATCAGATCACATTTAGAACTAAACCAATAAGACCCACTTCTGAATTCTCAACTCAAACCCTAAAATCAAGGAGGGCCTGGAATGAAATAGCTCAAGCCCTAAAAGAAAACAATTGGCAGCCAAGATTGCTCTATTCAGCAATGCTACCTTTCAGAATAGAAGAAGAAATAAAAACACTCCATGACAAGAATAAACTAAAAGAATTCATAAGCACTATGCCAGCACTACAAAAATAATTGAAAGATACGCTACACCAAGAACAACTCCTGGTCCAATACTCTCTGGTACATATTTAAGTAGTTAATTGACATATCCATGGTCTTGAATATAAATAAATTCTAGTAGTATGAACAGCAAACATAAATAAAATAATGGAGACATTTCGTTTGATGACTTCTGTACAGATATAATATTCAGGATTATTAATAAGACTTAGAACCTGTCAAGATCATTGAACTGTCATTTGTAACTAATTAAAACAAATAAAAAAAGACATAGAACCCAAGGAAGCAATTACTTCATGGAGTAGTTGACTTATCAGCCTCTAAATACTGAGTATTATAGCATTGTAGTGAACATAGAAGTAAATGTAAGTGACCCAAAAATTGAAGGTCATAATATCCTGTTTCTAAATTAAAAAGGAAACAGGGCTAGGGTTGTAGTCCAGTGGCTATGTTTGTGGATTCAATTTCTGGTACAAAATATGAATACATGATTGAATGAATGAATAAAATGGAGGCTAGTCTGACATTTGGGCTTCAAACCAGACACTTTCATCCAATTGCGATCCATCTAGATAATTATAAAATCTTATTGTTTCCTAAATATTTTAATGTTTCTCTTCTCCTCCATTAGTATAATTACTGCTCTTACTTTCCATAATATTTTCTAGTTACATTCAAATTTGAATCTGATTGTATCAGCCAGGGTTCTTAGTTGAAAGGAATGAAGCAAATTAATTTCTATTAAAACAGAAAAGAGACATACTGAAAGGTATCTGATGGACCCTACGGTCTTCAGAAACACCGAGCAGTCAGGCTAGATGTGTACACATCAAGAACATCCCCAGTACATGTGTGAGATAGAACAATAGAAGATGTCCCCTGGTCCAACAGCAGATGCTTGTGCTGATGCCACACCACCAGGTCAAGTGACCTCAGTAAATCTCATAAGCTCCAATTTGGTGAAATGGGACAGAACGTGGATGGAGAGTTACCTCCAGGACGGAGCTGGGCATGTGGCCGATGGCTCATGGAACTGACCAGGCAGGCAGATTAGAAAGCATGAGACCCAGTGATACCTGCAGACACAGGCTGCCTGTGAGGCTGGGGAGGGCACAGCCATGCACATGAGAGAGGCACACTGTGTTGACTGCCCAGATGGTGGGAAAGAAGACCCCAAAGAGCCGCTCAGAGGAGGCACTGGTGATAGGAGCCAAGGAGAACCTCCTAATGGAGTCAAGGATCATGGATGCTCCTGGTCAAATAATTTGAAAAGGGAAGTGAAGGAAAAGTGCAGCATCTGCCCAGGGAAGAGAATGCTCTTTACATAGCACATGCCAGGAGAATGATCAGAGATGTGGGTGACGGTGGATTCCAGGAGCTGCTTAGGGTACTATACTGCTACAAGAGTTACAACTGAAATTTAAAGGAAGTGAATGGCTATTTTTAAAGGTTGAGAGTACAATTCTTTGTCACAAGACCAGGAATCATGGTCAGAAAATGAAGCCACATGTTTCTCTGAAGGAGAGGACATTAGTCACCTAGAGGCCCTATAACTTCATAAACACTGGGTCACATATGTTTGTGGGAAACTTGATGGATCTATAGTCTGAGTAGCTGTGGGTTGTGAATATAAATTACACACAAGATTTGACAAAATAGAATGAAAACAAAGTATACAAGCAATAATAATTTCATGTGATGCATGTAGACATAACATTTCAATATCAGTATAAATATTATTACATTTACTAATATATGTAAGAACATGTACTGTATTATATGCAATAATTCATAATAGTATAAAATAAAGTGTAATTAATATTTGCATTGTAAATTTTAGCGTGTTTTGTTTGAAATTAAAATATTGATCATTATATTAGTTTATAATGTTCAGTATATTATTTCAATTAATTTTACTGATAAATGTCACTAGAGACATACATCATTGCACTATAGTACTCTTGGTCAGTGCTGCACGGGAGTGTTCCAGTCTGCATGGAGAGAAGCCATACAGAGGAGCAGGGATGGCCATGGTCACTTCTTCCTGGGGGAGAACAGACCCCACACTCTTCTCATGGCCCCTAGCACCTCCTTGTTTCTTAGGCTGTAGATGATGGGATTGAGCATGGGAGTGAGGATGGTGTAGAAGACAGCCAGGTTCTTATCCTCTGCTGGGGAGCGAAGATTCTTTGGTCGGAAATAAGTGTAGGCAAAAGGTGCACAATAAAATGTCACCACAGTTAAATGTGTGGAGCACGTGGTGAAAGCCTTTCTTCTTCCCTCTTTTGACTGCATGTGGAAGATAGTAAAAATGACCCGTCCATAGGACACAGTGATGCCAAGGAAAGGAACAATGAGAAACAGGCCTGTGCTCACAAACACCATGTACTCATAGACCCAGGTGTCCATACAGGCCAGAGGAACCATGGCTGGGACATCACAGAAAAAATGATTGATGGCCCTAGACCTGCAGTAAGGAAGATGAAGGATGTAAAATGTGTGTGCCAGGGAGTTGATGGAGCCCAGTGTCCAGGGCACCAGGATCATCTTCAAACACATCCTTTTACTCATGCGGATGGGGTAGTGGAGGGGGTGGCATATGGCCACAAAGCGGTCATAGGCCATGGAGGCCAGGATTAAACCTTCTGAGCCAGCCATTGTCAGGAAGAAGAACATTTGCACAGCACAGGCCAGGAAGGAGATGCTCTTCTGGCCAGAGAGGAAGTTGTACACCATTTTGGGGACAGTGGTGGAGATGTACATCAGGTCCATGAGGGAGAGCTGGCTGAGGAGAAAGTACATGGGGGTGTGGAGCCGCGGGTCCAAGAAGATGAGGGCAGTCATCCCTGAGTTCCCCACTGAGGCAAGAATAAATATCAATAGGATCAGAAGCAAGAGAAGGAGGCCAGTTTGATTTTGAGGAAACAACCCCAACAAAATAAAATCACTTGAAGTTTGGTTCCATTTCTCCATGAACAGGCACTGCTTTAATTTTTTTAAAAGAAATGTAAAGGGGCTGGGGTTGTGGTTCAGTGGTGGAGCGCTCACTTCTCACGTGCAAGGCCCTGGGTTCGATCCACAGCATCACATACAAATAATAAATAAATAAATAATAAAGTTTAAAAAATTTTGTATAAAAAAAAAGAAATACAAAAACAAAAACTAAGCAATAAACATGATCAAATAGAAAAGGAGAATAAAAGAAATTAAGTTTATTAGTGTTTGTTTTGAATGCATTGTCATCCATACAACACCACACATTCTGTTCAATAGATTTTTTTATATAAGTAACTTTATGCTTCAGATAACGAATGTGTAGTAGTTGCTAATATGTGTCTGTCTTTTTCCCCATTTCTTATTGGTGCATTACAGTTGGACATAATGATGACATTTGCTGTTACATGTTTGCACAGGCAATACAATATGGCTGAAATCTCTCCCTAGAATGTTCCCCATCTCTCCCTCCCTCCAATCTCCCAGGCCCTTTCCTCTACTGATCTCTGATGTTCATGAGATTTCCACTTACCCTAAGTTTCTTTTCCTTTTCTCTCTCTAGCTTCTACATATGAAGAAAAACATATGACTCTCAATATTTAGAGTTTGGCTTCTTTCCCATAACGTAATGAACTCCAGTTCTATCCATTTTTCTTTAAATAAAATTATTTTTTCTTTATGGCTGAATAAATAGCTGGTTCCATAGTTTGGCTATGAACTGTGCTGCTATGAACATGGGTATGCATATATCACTGCAGTATGATGACTTTAATTTTTCAGTATAAATACTGAGGAGTAGTAGAGCTGGGTCATATGGTTGTTCAGTGCTTAGTCTTTTGAGGAACCTCCATACTGTTTTCCATTTTGGTTGTACTAATTAACAATCCCAAAACTGTAAAAGTGTTTCCTTTTTTCCACATCCTATCATTTATTATTTTGTATTCTTGATGACTGCCATTCTGAGTGGTATGGGATCAAATCTTAGTGTAGTTTAAATTTACATGTTCCTAATTGCTAATGGCACACTAGAAGACATAGGGAAAAGCCCAAACATCTGTATTCATCTGATCCCTGACACAGTGCCAATAACATATATTGGAAAAAAGGTGGTCTTTTCTACAAATGGTGCTGGAAAAACTGGTTATCCAATATGGAAAAAAGAGATACAAAACCTTATTTCTCACTCTACAAAATTCAACTCATATTGGGTCGAAGATCTAGGAATCAAACCAGAAATTTTAAAAGAAAAAAACATGGGGTCAACACTCCAGCATACAGGAAGAGGCAATGATTTTCTGAATAGGACCTCAAAGCTCAGGAGATAACACCCAGAGTTCATAAATGGCGTTTCATTAAATTAAAAACTTTCTGCACACACACACACAAAAAGGAAACGATAAGGAATGTGAAGAAAGAAAGACAGAATAGAAGAAAATCTTTGCTAAGTATTCTTCTAACAGAGGTCTATTATCTAGAATTCATAAAGAACTCATAAAACAGTAGCAAAAATAGCTCAATTAATAAATGGGCAAATGAATTAAACAGACACTTCTCAATAGAGGAAATACAGTGGCCAAGGAATATGTGAAAAAATAATGTTCAATAGATTTTGATATCGGAATTAAAAATTGCTTTCCCAGTTCTTTCTGGTAACCATCTCAAATTGAAATAAAAATTATACTCACATATGCAACAAACACAAATGAAAGAACTGAGGAAGTCCTTCCTAGATAATGCTGGGTAGGAGCATTCCTAGGACTATGCACCAGGCTCAGCCCCGGAGGAAGCCAGGATCCTGCTTTCTCAGCTCCCCAACTCAGCACTCAGGTTCACCACAGACATGGCCTGTGAGGCGCAGAAGTGCCCTGTGTGCTTGAGTCTGCATCCTCAGTGACCTCACCTCCTCCACACCTTTAGTGCCTGCTCTCCCCTCCCCACTGGCAATGCTGCAGCTGAGTAAGCCAGGGTCTTCTCCCAGAGCTGTGCTGCTCACCTCCTAAACAGAAGCTGTTTGGCTGGTCCTAGAAGTGGGTCGTCATTCAAAAGCATCTTTCTTAAGTTGTGAAGGTATCATGAGTCCTATATGATCAACCTTAGTATAGTATGTTCTTTGGATACTGTCTCTTTCCTAATGTGGTTTTCATTTGTGAAAACCTTACAAACTAATATCAAATATTAAGGTTTTATATAAATTTTCCTTTTCTTCTTGGAAGCAAATTACATATGATGAAGTTGACAGATTAAATCTTGTGCAATATTTTTCATTGTATATTCACAATGGCAAACTAGAACTAGAAAATTAACAGAAATACAACATAGGTATGGATAATGGAATCTCATACAGGGACAGACTTTTTGCATATACAAAAAACTTGCACGTGCCATAACTTACATGAAAGGTTCTTCTCATTACTTCATTTATTTTAATGTGATTTTTGCACTATTTTTTTTAAATTTCCCAGATAATTAGAAGAATTCATGGATGTGAAGAACAACATCCTCAAATACAGTTATGCCTTGGAAGAGATTTGACATCATATTACTAATCATTTCACAATAACACATTTAGTAACTGGTGAGTGATTTACTGTGTGTGGAATAAAGCATTCAAAGTAATTGGTGTAATGATTATTGTCCTCCATAGGATCAGGCCTAACTCTAGGTCAGGCACATGGGCCATAAAGAGGATGTTTCTTCCTGTCCTGCAGTTTAGTTTCCCAGGTTACAAGCAGGATCTGGCTCTGCTGCTGAGCTGCTCACCTAGGAAGGAACGTGAGCAGAGGCAGTGTCCTGACTGTAGCTTACATATGTGTGCACTTGCCCTGTTCAGACTTAATTATGTAGGGGAAGTAAAACCATAATTAGTTATGAATCATTTAGAGTAAAGAAACCAAAATGAGAAGAAATGAGTGAGTTCCTCTTCTAGGTTATATGGTTGCTTAGGCTGTTCTTTGGGAATGTGCATCTGCATCTCAGCCCTTAACAGCTTCTCTTCTTCTCCTTGTGCCATGTCAGATCTGGCAATTTCATATTCATTGTTTTTATTCTCACAAATATTCATAAAATGAGATCGTCACATTTCTTATATCGCCAGTATGTGTTTGACTTCTCCCTGTGTCTAGTCTTAGAGAGATTTAAACTTTATATTTGAGCTCTTCCATGGGGATGCTGCCACAGACTACTGTGGATGTTAATTTGGATTAATGATTTTCTGACAGGAAAGAAAAGCAACCAATAGTTTGTTGCCATGATTCATCTCAGTAAGTAAACAGCAGTGATTTCTTGATATACCGTAGTAAACAGGAATACAATTGC